GGTGAAAAAAAATTTTTTTTGGAATTAAGAAAATATTTTCGAGAATTACTTATTTCAAGTAAATGAATATTCTCTTGAAACAAAATTTTTTCTTTTACTTCAACAGTATTGTCTTGTTTGAAATGAATTTTTTCTTAAAGTCAGAAAGTATAATCTTATTTTAAAATACTGTTTGCTTCAAACTATTCTAGTAAATATTTTCTTGATTCTAATAATTTTTTTTCAGTCTTCTCATTGTTAAAATTAAGCATTATATTTCCAGACAATAATTTTGTTAAAAAACTTATGAAATAATTGTAAACAATTTTTTTTTAACGAATTATTACTCTCAGAAAGTTGCCCATGATGTTGCTTTTTGCTTTAAAAAGCTGCACGATTTTTTAAATTAATTAAAACGTACGATTTAAAAAAAGAAGAAGAAGAAAAAAAAACAAGTCGTTAAATTTTAAATTGTCGACATTTATTCTCAAGAGAGATGAGCCCAAGTTCATTTGCTGATTTTAAATTTATGTCACGTGCTACGAAAAATTAGTTCACAGGCATCAGGAATAATTTTCTTTTAAGCTTGCGCAAGCAGATGCTTTGCGTTTATGTACCAACTTTGATGGCTTAACGAGCACAAACGCAGTGTTCGCTTACTTTTTTAGATTTTTTAACAAGCTAGATACCTTGACATGAAAAATTTTACTGACACCATAAAAAACAACAAAATATGTGTAATTTAAAAATAATCCTAAAAAAAAAACAAAAAAAACAAGGTGAAAAAGGTTGGATCGCTACAATATTTGATTCGAAAACTTGAACGAAACTCAGAGAGCGAAAAGCCGTAAATACAAGAGGCGCGGCTTCGTGAGAGAGAGAGAGAGAGGAAGCGCGCGTCCGGCAATTTATTATGCGCCCTTCGGACGCCATTTAAATGCAAATTCCATGATTACGCGCCGTAGCGCTAATTGCTACGTGTTCTCCCATAGCGTTTTCCCTCTTTCCTCCCACACCTGTGCCCTGTTTCCCTCGTACGTACGTACGTATACTCTTTTGAGTCCTTCGCCTAATAACACGCGTGTGCGTGACACTTTTTCTCTCCCTATTCCACCCCTCCCGACCCTTCTTTCATGAATTTGTAAATTTGAAATTGGATGAAATGCGAGCTCTCGATTTAATTTCAAAGTGAAACGAATTTTCGAGGTGTCAGTAAATTTTACCTCGTTCTTAGTTGTGCACCATCATTTTTCTTTACTTTTGTTTTTTCTATTTTATTTTACTATTCATTTCACAACGCATATTTTCTCCTTAATTTTTTACCTCTACGTTTTTGTTCACAGCAGTTTTATACTTTTAAATATTCATTTTGTTCTATTATATCCTTTTTTTAATATCTTTTTCTTTTCTGATACTTTATTTTTATTATTTGAGTAACTATATTATTGCGTAGTCCAGCAACTACTAACAATTTAATTTGCCAAGGCGACAAGTAATTATTATCGCAGCTGCATATGCTATGCCAAAATAATAAAATAGTGATATATATTTTGATTGCGGTGTAAGCCAAAAATTATTAGCTATCAAAATTAACTGTAATAATAGCTGTAATAATATATAAGAGTTATAACGAAGCTAAAAAAATGTTTCAAAAATAGCTACATAAATTACATTTATTTATTGTTAAAAAACTGATGTAAAAAGATTATTACAAATTTTGAAGACAACAAAAACTTCTTTTGTACTGCAAGCAATGCTCTGTTTGAAAAAATTAGTACATCTTTCAAATCATTGCTAATACCCTTGTGAACAATTTTTTTTATTTTTCGGTAGAAAAAAAATTTGTGATTCATGGCTATTTATTTACACACTTTTATAGCTTTTTTATAAGTAGTTATAGCTAAAGTTATGTAACATAAAAGCTAAAAATTATATCTTATGTTTAATGCCTAAAATTTGCCTAGAAATGATGTATTGAACTAGATACAAATTTAAAATAATTGAAGCAATTAAAAAAATAAGTATATTAATAAAAAAAATATTACACGAATAATTGCTGCTTGGCAAAATTGTAGCAAAATAAATACACCAAAATAGCGCTTATTGGCTTTGAAGAAAAAAAGCTTCTTTTTTTCCTCAAAAATTAACATAAAAAAATCATCTCTTGGTCAATCAAGCATTATAATATTAACTTAATTTATAGGTTACCAGATCGAGTGGAACAATCGAAAAATCAAAGTTATCCGACCAGACGTTGCCTGCACCAACGGCATCATCCACGTGATCGACGACGCGATGCTCACGGAATCGGACATCCAAGTGACGCGTGACAATGGTGGTGGCACGTCCGCACCGATGCTCACCCTCATCATGTCTCACGTGTTATCGATCTTCATTGCCAAGTGGCTGCTCTAAGTTACAGCAGCGAACCTAACCTCAAATGTCGAAAAATAATTTTAAAAAAATGAACAAAGTACCGAGGAACAAAAAAAAACTACGTTTCGCCGGCAACGCGATTGTTAACGTAACTTAAGACACTTGACCGATCCGTCTCGATGATCTTGCTTTTTTTCAAACAGTATGGAAAATATCAACATAGAAGAACTTGACCTACATATTTGGAGTCACGTGGTGTACGGCCGCCATTTTGTCGACTGCACACACGCGATTGGAGAAATATAAATATGTCACTCTTGAACAAGTTTGGATGATCATTGAACCTAAAGCGTTTACGGACAACAAAAATTGTATTTTAGCTCTAATTAGTCATTAGGTTTATCACTTTAAGTTTACAGAATTAGGAAATAAGTAATGTCAAGAATCTCATTATTGGTAGTTTCGAGACAATTTAGCGTTATAATGCATTTCTGTCTCTCTTATTCTTTGGTAATGCATCAAAATGGTAAACAGGACTTTATGAAAAATGTGCCTAATGTTATCAAAGCCGATCACGAGAGCGAGAAATGAGGAAAAAAAAAAAAAAAAAATGATCGCTAGAGCGGATTTGGGATCTTCCTTAGGCCAGTGAATGATAGTCTATAAATAATCATTATCTTTGACACGGAGCATGTAGGAAACAAAAAAAAAATAAAATAAAACTATGGACGAACCAAATAACTAACTAAATAATAAATACAAACCAAATAAAGGGTAGGACCACTGTAGAATTATTTTTAGTTGATTGACCACTCTTATGATTTTTCAAGCACGTGTTTCATTAAAAAAAAAAAAAAACTGTATCAATTGGAAGGTTGGATAGAAAAAAATGTTGACACTTGGCCAAGTTACGAATCTCTAGAGTTGTTTTACCCTTTGAACCTGATCCCTTGAAAATAAAATCAGCATATAACCAAGCGCTACTAGTAGCTTGCGACACACGTGCAACAGCATCGTAATATAATTTTGAAGCTTCGAAATTTTTTCCATTGACCCACAATCAATCTATACGTTGCAAAATATCATATTTTTTTTTTGAGCGTACACCGAAAGTTCGAAAAAAAGTGTCGAAGTATGTAACTTACATGTGTACGATTGTAATAAACTACTTAAATTTTAATGCCAATGGGGTGTGATATTCATTGGAGTGTTTTTTTATATAATTCCATCGAAAAGTCGATAGGCGTGACTTGGTGATTGCATTACCTTTTTCTCATACAGACGAACACGGCCTCACGTTATTCATTTGATTTTCTACAAAAACTCTGGAACTTACCGAAAGAAAGTATTTAGATTTAAACACGAATCAAATTTGGAAAAAAAATCAGATTGAGAAAATCGAAACACCGAGTCTCGCTGCGCCGGGCGTTAGCTGTATTATAAGTATTTGCTATTTATACTTATCGACGAAACTGCCACAGTTCGCATAGCGGGGAAGAGCCGAGACGCTCGAGTTTTGTACAATTGTAACGATCAAAATGTTGAAAAAGAAAAAAAAAAAAAAACTTCAAGCGAATTAACAAATAAAATGAAAAAACAATTATACCTATATAGGAAACCGATTAATCTGTTTTGCTCTTCGAAAGGATACGACATTATCACACGTGACACGTACATTGATGTTGGAGTTGTGTACAGAAGTTTCTTGTGTGGATGCAAATGTGAGTGAAAGAAAATGAAAGAAATAGGGATAAGGTACATAATATTAATAATAATAGTAATAGTAATAATGATGATGATATAAATGACATCGTTTTCTTCATTGCCTTCAGAAATCAAGAAGATATATTACGTTGAGATTAAAATGATTAACTACCTGAAATAAAAGCAAAAAAAAAAAACTCCACCAAGTTGAATCGTAGATGTTCCCTTTTTTATGAGCTTTTATATCGAACTGGCTTTTCAAGGAGACGAGAGAATCGATACGACGAGGCACCAAACCTGGTTTCCGTAAGAGATTGATGTTTTTTTTTTTTTTTTTTTCATTTATCTAGTATTACAAATGTAAGCAGCAAGGATTCGATAAAACATTGTGAGTAAGAAAATCAAAAAGACTTTAACAAATAACATACTTATCAGCTTACTCGATACAACTGAATGTGTAAACACCATTTTAAATATGAAATAAAATTTTCTAAACTAAATGAGATTATGTAGCTTGTACATAAAAAAAAAAGAAAAAAAAAAGAAAAAATGATTTTTCTCTGTCGATTTTCAGATTTCCTTGCAGGGAAATCCATATTAATTCTGTTGAATTTTATAAATGAAAATACATGCGAGATTTATAGAGGACAAACAATAAAACATCATCTAGTGCATGTCGTGTTCATATCTAAATAATCGCCCGTTTGTGGTATAAAGTATAAATATATACACATAACAGTCAAATTTTCAGATCGATGGATCGATAGTGCTGTGTACGATACGGTCGTGAACGCACGGCACAATCGACTACTTATCAAAGTCTTTTTAAAAATCTTTGAAGATAAAAAAAAAAAAAAAAATTAAAGGTCGATGTTACGTATTGATATCAATCTATACAAATTAAAAAAAAAAAATTTATATGTATA